AATAAGTTTTCACTAAAAAACGGCCTCGAGCCCAATAAAATTTGTTGAATATGATTAAAAAGTGAAAATTAAAAGCACTAAAGAGTAAAATAAGGGCCGTGGGAAATATTTACAAACCGCTGAAATCTATTGTGAATACGCAGTACGAAAAGTAAGTTTACGCGACAACAAGCTTTTAATTCAGAATTTTTAGAAAGATTCTAAGTTTGCAGTTTTATATTCCATTAAATAAAAGTGCAAGTTTCTGCAATATCCCGATGATTTTTTTATTTTTTTCTGACGGTGTCATACATTACGGTGTCATACGTAAAAATTCTGAATTCATAGTTTGTTGTTGGGAAAACCTGCTGATTTTTTATAATTTTTGTTCAAAGTGTGAAAGGACGATTATGGTAAATATATTGTGTTTATTAAATTATGAATTAGACTTTTATATAAAGGCAATCGATATATAAAAGCAATCGATAATGAACAGAATAGGTGAAACTGGGCAAAATGTCTCACTGCCATTATTTCGCATATATGTACATAACTGTGTTCGTATGGAAAAGTAGCTTATGTCGAAAGGCTGGCTTTAGTATAAATCGGCATTCGGAGCATACGATTGCGAATGACTTACGGGCGCTAAGCCGTTTTAGCAACTAAACGTGCAAGAAATAGTTCCGATACTAGCAAGTCAATATTCTTTTTAAGTCCCATCAAAAAATTCCTTGTCGTTTAAAAAATAAAGGGAATGTAGCATTATACTAAAGCCGGCCTTTCGACATAAGCTACTTTTCCATACGAACACAGGTATGTATTACATATATGTGTGCAAAAAGGTCATAATACCTATATTTCGGTGTATTTCCCCTCCGTAATTGGAATTATGTGTAATTTTACTATGAATTTATGTATATGTCTAAGGAATCCTTCACAAAAGTGATTTACTGTAATAATTTGGGTAATTAATAATTATTATATTACTTCAGTGTATTTTAAAAATATAATTTCTAAAAATATTTAATTAAAAAAATTTAATTTTGTGGCACTTTCATCTTGTGGCACTATTTTTGAAGACTATTTGGCACATTTTGAAATTCTGAAATTCCATTCCTGGGGCACGTATGCCACCTGTTTCACTCTCCCTTTCAGTTCACGTCGCGATAGCAAATCGAAAGGGTTTGCACGTATGTATGTAAATCTGTATTAATGTACCGGCGCGGGTAAAAAAAACTTTGAATAATGCAAGAAAATACAAAAGAACTTCACAGAGCAAAACTAAATGTGACAATTAATACAAAAATAATGTGTAAATTACTATTATCGAGGAAAAATAGTAGCAAATGAGAAATTGACTGTAATTGTTCAAAAGAATTGAATTGCAAAAGGAGCTCAGTGTAAAATATAAAGGTGATGACATCAAGGTTAAACCAGAAATCAAAGATAAATGCAGTGTCAATAATGTGGTGAAAATTAGACTAAGCTTAAAACAACTTAATGCAAAAAAATAAAAATATAAAAAGGTGATGAAATAAAAACTATCTTAAAGGCAAAAAAAGTGGTATAATGACACAAAAAACAATAGAAGTGCAAGAAAGGAAAGAAAGAAAGAAAGCCTGTAATAAATCAGGTGTGCGGCTGGAAACGCCGTTTGATAGTGACGCTGGCGTTCTTGTAAAACGTCGATGTTAGTGCGGTGGAGTGGGTGAATTATATTTACGCGTGTGCTTTTATTTTCCGTGATGCGGTAATGTTGCCTGATCTGCGATCTTGCCTAGTCGCCGGTAGTTGACGCGAGCGTCTGCTTCACTGGCGAGAACGATTAACGTTGTCGTTGGTGTCGTTTAAAATTTGGTTAGAGCGGCCCGGATATCCGTTTAACAAATATTTAATTTTTATTCTTTGGCACTCAACAACTTTATATTTACTTGAAAACTTTATTGAATTCGTTTCGGCGGTTAAAAATAGTTCGCGCTCGAGCAATTCTGACTTTCAGCACTGACTTTCTCAAAAGAATCTCGATTTAGGCTTCAGCTCGATATTTAAACATTTTTCTCAGCCTTTGTTTTGTTACGGTGATTCGCGGTTATCCTTTTGTTTACAAACACATACATTCGGCCAATAGCAAGATCGCATATCACGACATCGAACCAGTTGCATCGCACCCGCTATTTTGACTTTGGACTTTATGTCTTTATGCGATTGGAAAGTTTTCACTTTGTTTACATTTGATATGTCTACTGTTATCACTAGGGCGAATTTCACCGTGGCTCCTATGGAGTGGTTCGAAAATGGTTATTTTTTTTTTTTGTTTACTTCGACTTAGTACAGCTGCATTTTTGAAGTGAAACTTCTTTAGCGGCGGATGGTTGGTTGGGAGGAAATTGGCAAATTCAGCGGAAATCGCACGCAGAAATGGTGCAACGGAAATGGTTGGGGCTGAAATAAGTACTTATTGTGTGTATGCAACGGAAATGATGCAACGGAAATGATTGGGGCTGAAACAAGTGCTCCTGGAGTGTATGGTATTAATTTAACAAAAATTTGCTAATAAAAGGTTAAACAATAACACTTAGAAAAAGAACAATACAAAAATTAAAGTAAAAAAGACTACTTACATAAATGGAGAAAACGATAGAGGCAAAGGTAAAAATAAAAACAAAAACAAAGATGCGTGAAGATAAAGGCACAAACGAGGACCAAGGTAAATTTAAACACTTTACTTATATATATAAGGGCAAATGTGAAGGAGAATATGTAGCTGAAAAAAATCATGAACATAAAAGTAAAGACAAAGAGGATGGTGAGGAAACCGATAAAAGCAAATATGAAGATAGGGGAAGAAAGATTAAAATAGAGGTAATTAAAGCGGAAAGGATATAGAGAGAGACACAGAGACTCAATCTGGGAACTATTTTGGGATCTTAGAGATTTTCGGGATTCTCGAGACTAATCGATAAAATAATCGATACTTTTATCGATATTTACCGATTTTGTTATCGATATTCATCGATTTTGTTATCGATTCTTATCCATTTTGTTATCGATATTTATCGACTTTGCTAGCGATATTTATCAATTTTGTAATCGATTTTGTTATCGATATTTATCCGATTTTGTCATCGACATTTATCGATTTTGTTATCGATATTTATCGATTTTGTTATCGATATTTATCGATCTTATTATCGATATTTATCGATTTAGCTACCAATGGTATTATCGATGTTGCTATTGAAATTTTTATCGAATTTGTCATCGATTTTGTTATCGGTAGAGTATAAAGATAAAAATGAAGATAATGAAAAAGCAGAATAACATGAATGTTATTAAAACGAACAGTGGTAAAGGTAGGGATCTACATCAGTGTCCGCCAAAAAGAGAAGTCTTAAAATGAGAATGTATTAGTTATGAAATAAAAAATGAGAATGTGTTGGTGGTAATGCACGGAAATGCGTCATCAACCTGCTTCGCCTATTGTTTGCATGCAACTAAATAAAATTTGTTGCTCTGCTACTCTTTCTGTTGACGTTCGGATTGTGTACGTGTAAGAAGCCGATTGTGTACATGTGAAAGGCCGAATATAGTTCGTTTCCCAGGAAAGTGTTTGGCGGACACTGATCTACATTGATAGAAAAAAGCGAAAAAATATAACCTTAAGCAAAAGCAGATGTGTGTATGTATAGATAGACAAGTAACGTAAGTTTCACTTCTACAGTGTGGCCCAAGCGCACTTACTATTTTTGTAAGCGAGCGACAAAAGAATGCTCAACTCGGGTAAAATTTCCTTTTAGGTAGTTAAGCAACCCTGCTGGAAGCTGGCAAGAAACACGTGATTAGTTCAACGGGATTTAGACACAAAAAACAATAGAAATTAGTAATTATGCGAGGTATTTGCGTAATATATATACTTATTTAAAATATAAATCATGTATATACGAAAACAAAAATTTCCCTCTCCACTTTCCCATTAACAATGCACAATAGAACAGTTTTTTCACTTAACAACTCTACTCTTCAGGTCGCGTATTTTTTAACCGACCTGGCTGAACTCGGATAAATAGCCGAGTTTGTGTTGTTGCTTTGCGCGTATTTCGTCATTTAAGCGAGTGTTCTTTTGTAGCTCGGTTGCAAAAGAATGGACCTAATCTCCATATATATATATATACACACGTTCATGCATATACCCACATATATGTACGAAAAAAAAAAAATATATATATATATATGTTCATCTTCAATTGGTTGCCGTTACAACCTTTCCAAACATATCTCAGTCTAAGTTTTTGAAAACAAATTACAATAAACTGTTGACTATCACAAAATCGTCATAAAAAATTGTTTTTAAAATGAAAAGCACCCATTTTTTTAAACATGTTTTTTATAGAGAATTAAACAAAGATTACGATGGTGTAATTTCAAATTCCTAATTTATTGATCTTCACTATGCAAGTCAACTTCAAAAAGTTCAACTGTTTATGGGTAAGTTAGCTTTAGAACAATCATGGCGATATTATATATAGAAATATTATAGAGCTTGAGATATAACGATTTGAAGAAGTACTTGATTGGTTAGAATCATGAAAAAATCCAAACTTTGACAGATCATATCTCCGAAGAAAAAAAAAAGAATTCTCGAATATGTGTTAGCTTATTTCATGTATAGAACCCAAAAAAAAATAAGCCAATCGAAACTGTGACACCAAGTTTGGTGTCCGATATGAAGATTTTATAAAATATAATAATACAAATCAAAAACATCAAAGCTACGCTATTTTTAAAAACAGACATTTAAAATTCGCCACCCGGTACATACATAGGTTCTAGAACTTTGAATTACCTTTTTTGTAAAGAAATAACATACAAATCTGAGCTGTTTGAACAGGTTCCGAGATAACGCAACATTTATGCCTTCAGTTACTCTTCAGTTCACTGAAATATTGGCCTTGTGTTCGTAAACTCGAAATTGCTATTAAATAGGCATAGTGTATTACTAATATATCAAATATTGATTTCACCTGCACTAGGAATTTGCGATAAGGCAGATACAGCTCTCAATGCAGACCTTTTAAGTTCATCCTGTTTCTCATGTTCTTGTTTAACAGAATTTGCCTTTACTTTATAAGTACACGTTTCACGCAATTGTTGTATAAACTGGTCAAGTTCTAAATACAAAATGGTTGATATTTTCAGTAGTTAACTTGTTTATTACTGCAATAAACTCACGTTGTAAAACTGCATCTGGACATGAAACTGCCAAGCGAGCTGTCATTAAATATGTCAACATTTTTATGTCATAGTGATCACATAAGCCAGCTTGTACGTGTCCCAGAAATTGTTTGACATCAACTCGATCAAGTCCTTGTTCTAACAAAGTATACATACATTCAAATGCAGCTTTACGAATGTCCAGACCATCATCAACTGTATGTTTGAACGGGCCCATTTCGACTTCTCGGATCAATTCACACTATTCAATTAAATAAAAAAGAAGGGTTTCAATTCTTTATACATATCGCAAGCTTAGAGTGAAAAGTTGCTAAGTCCACCTTTTATGAAAACTCATATTTTGAAACAGGAGGCTAGAGAAATTAACAATACATCGCTTCGGAAAGGGTAACGGTTCCGGTTTAATGTTTTCTCGTTTATATTCAATGGAAGGAAAATTTGCTAAGCCCAAAAAAAGCTCCGAAAATTCGGTAAGGTTAAAATAGTGCGAAATCTTTTAATAAAAATCAAATCACCCTGATTCGTATGGAGTTTTACTTTGCCTTAAACAGGTAAAATTTTATATTCAAAGTTTTGCGAAATACTTGAAGAGAATGGCTACAAGAAGTTTCTTTCCTTTTCCTGTACAATTTTTAAATTGGAACGTAGCAACTCTAAGCTAGCGATATGTAGATATGTATATATATACATATGTACATAGCACGGTAGTGTAGAAAGTTTTTTAATCCAACATGAAAACCACCCACAATATCGTTGCAGAATATCAAAAGTCGATGTTTCAGTAATCATCTCCGATCAAAATTAAAATCGTATCTTCGTAACTCTTCGAGAAAACTGTGATTTTATATACTTCATGTGTAATATAAATACTAGACTGACCAGAAAAAGATGAAAGTGCTTTTTTTACGCTATTGACGTTTTAGTTTCAATTATGGCTAAAAACTATCCCCTGAAAATGTGGGACAAAAATATTAAAATTTAGAGGTCTTCGCGTGGACGTTTTGCGCCTCCGACCAGTGGGAGAAATTACGAAAAAACAGGCCAATATTCCAAAAATCAAAGTTGTCCGACTGTTCCAAAACATGGTAGTTTGTCAAGAGAAGGTCCATTGCGTAGTGGATGAAAAGTATAAGGCACCCTTTTTTGTATCTTCTTCACTAGAGCAGTTTGAACTTGCTATGCGCACTAAAGTTTGTGCTGCTTTTCTCATTGGTCCTAAATTGTGCTTCGGAAATTTGATTTTAAAATAGTGGTTAAAACACTTAATTATTTTTTGAGATATAGAGAGCATTTCTGACGGTATCTTAATTAATCTAGGTCATTAAGTTAAAATTTTTGACACAAGTAAATATATCTAAAAAATAATTGTAAAACCTCTCTAAAAAAATATAAGAATATTTTTGTATTTGATTGTTGGAAAAGTTATGCTCGCGGTAGATCGGGCTGTTCTTCACTTTGAAGATAATAGCAAAAACAACGTACTTCAAGAATTTAAAAAGGAAGCAACCAGATTCGTCCAAGATCTGTTGTAATTCACGATTGAATAGCGCGATAAAATAGTAACAGTGCTCATTGTGTTGTGTGGAAAGCATACACAGGGCAACACTGATTTTGGTACGGCAAATGTTAAAGCTGTTAATAGACTTTTGTGCTGATTACGAATCCGCAAGTATAAAGTTCCATCAGGTCCAGATTTTGAGAAAAAACGAGGTCAAAGTATAAAAACAAGCGTTTTTTTGCAATATTTTCAGAAGCTCTGCCAATGAAGAAAATGGAAGATAAAACCTTTCTCTTCTTCTTCTTCTTATTTGGACCTGTAACCGCCTAAGCGATTTTGGCCGAGTTCAGCAAAGCACGCCAGTCGTTTCTCTTCTGTGCCAATTGGAAACGCCAAGTCCCTCTCCACCTGAACTTTCCATCGCAGTGGGGGCCTCCCTCTTCTTCTGCTACCACCAGCGGGTTCCGAGTTGAATACTTTCAGACCTGGAGCGTCGGTGTCCATTCGAACGACACGGCCAAGCCCGTAAATCTTCCCCAAAATCTTTCTCTCGAACACTCATCTGATGTCATTGTCCATTCTTCTGCGCCATATACCAGCATGGGCATGATGAGTGACTTATAGAGCGTAGTTTTCGTACGTCGAGAGAGAACTTTACTCCTGAATTGCCTACTCAGTCCAAAGTAGCACTTGTTGGCAAGAGTGATTCTGCGTTGGATTTCCATGCTGACATTATTATCGGTGTTAATGCTGGTTCCCAAGTAAACGAAATTCTCTACTTTCTCGAAATTGTAACTGTCAACAGTGACGTGGGTGCCAAGCCGCGAATGCGGTGACTGTTTGTTTGATGACAGGAGATACTTCGTCTTGTCCTCGTTTACCACTTCCTTATCCAACTCGGAAAAGGCAGAGCAGACTTCGCGGTTTTTAGTCGACAAATAGGTGGTGAGTGTCGATTTGGCGTATTGTGAATACCTGGTCTATGGTGTATTTGCGGTTTACGATGAGACCTTGTAACCTATGCTTACAAGGCTGATCCCGCGGTAGTTGGCGCGAATGGCGGGGTCACCTTTCTTGTAGATTGGGCAGAACAGAGAGATAAAACCTTTCACTTAGGCTTAAATTAAAGCTAGAACTCTCGACTACTGCCTACGAGTATATGTGAACATCAGATTAAAGTGCAGGGATGGTATTTTCAGAGACAGTAGTCGAGAGTTCTAGCTTTAATTTAAGCTTAAGTGGAAGGTTCTATTTATCATTGTGGGCGGATTAGGTTTATATTAACAACTTATACTAATATTCACTAAATAAGCTTGTGTTCCAAATTTGAAGCCTCTAGGTTAATTCTTACCATATATGGTCAGCTTTTTTGTTATTCTCTCACTGTGCTTCGACTTAAGTGCTTAAAATTACTCTTCCTTCATTCCGTGCGCACACGAAATCACTTAATGTCGTACTTTATGTTTTCAAGGTCGCTGAACACGTTGGACGAGACCATTTTTCGATCCGACCTTTACATTTTGAGATTTTACGAAAGTCTTAAAAAAAAACGAGAGAAATACCGAAAATCGCGCTTAAATCCTGACTATTTCTTAGATTTTTTTTTTTTAAATTTTCATCATTCATACTACGTTAATTTTATTTAGAGATACCGTCGCTACCATGTCAAACTATCGAATGAGAAAAAATGGTTTTTCATTTACAATACCTTGCGCATCAGCATTAGAGCCGTTGGCGATTTCCATTGCCATCCTGGTGAGCTCGCTCTTCAAGAGAAGCAAAAATTGCAAAATTTTTCTTTATAACTCTGTAACATGCGTTACACTACAAAAACTAGAATCAGCATCAGAGCCGTTGGCGATTTCCTCAAAGCATTGTCATCCCGGTGAGCTCGCTCTTCAATATAAGCTTTCACTAGAGTTCAGCCTTTTTCATATGATTCAACTGGTTTCTCCATCCCACCTAATTTATATTTTCGAATTAGTTCACCATCAACCCAGTTTTTAGATTTGTTGATGTTAGAAAAAAACGAGTTTTGAAACGCCGGTCACAAAATATTGCAACACTGAAGCATTACGGGATATGTAAGCATGCATAATAGTTCGATTTTAATCACATTTTAAAATACGCGATTTCGGCCGAGTCCGACAGTACGTAAGTCGTTTCTCTCGAAGGCGAAGCTCGGCCAAACACTAACATATGTGTCAGCGCCAAACTATTATTATTAAGTGAAGTCAAGTCCTTATCTACTTGGTCTTTCCATCGCAGTGGTTCTTCCTCTTCCACCATCGCGACACGCGTGGAATACTTTTAGAACAGACGTAGCCCTTATTTGTAACAGACGTCGATGTCATAAAGTTTTGTGCCTGAGCGGTTCAGTTCTGCGACTCTTATTATCTTCTCCAACAATCAGATTAAGAAATCACACGAAAGGGAGTCACCTTGTCTGAAACCTCGACTGGTATCATTTTACACAGCCTGATTAGTTTCGCGGGGCTAAAAATTGAGACATCACGACATAAAGCAACTTCTTTCCGTGCTGTCGAAAGCGGCTTTGAAATCGACAAATAGATGGCAAGTGCCGTCAGCTCTAGCAGCTTTGTTACTTTTCATCAGCATAATCGCTATTCGTACCTCGTCATAGTCAGTTTCTGGGATATCGACTCCATCGTCATCGACTTAGGCCTCGGGTTCGTCTTCTCCACTTCTTTCAGTGCTGCCGTCGAAAAGTGTTCCCTCCATAATTTGAGTACGTTCTGTTCATCGGTCACTAGGTCGCCATGGTTATTCCTACAGGAGTCTTGAAACGTAAGTCGCTCAACTCTCTGATAAAACTTTCGGGTGTTTTTTCTGTCGGCCAGCATTTTAAACTGTTCGCACTCACGTATTTCGACCTCTCTCTTATTATTATTGCGGAAAATACGTCTAGCTTTCCTCTTCAGTCCCTACAACGGTTCCATATGGCTCGCGTTGCGCCCGATCGCAGCGTGGTTCTTTAGGCGGCCCTTTTTTATCTGCAGCTTCTTGAACCTCCTTATCGTACCAGTAATGAGCGGGATATGTGGTTCCACCGCTCGCGTTTGTCGGTTGGTTGAAGAGTGCTCTCTCACAGAAGGTGTGAGAGTCGAGTGGCGAATCAATTGGCCGTCTGTTTTGATTGCATTTTTCGCGTTGAGCTTTCCTTGCACTGTTGCACATTTTTTGCTGCAACGAGGCGGGTGTACGCTCTATGCGATCATAGAAGAGATCCTTGGATGCCTCGTCCTTCTCTTCCATCGGGGCATTGGCACATATGAACGAGATGTTGAAGAATCCCACTTTGATGCGGATGTCTAGTTCGTCCACTACAGTGAACGGCGGTACTCGCCGACGGAGTCTCTCTCCCACCACGTAGCAACTGTAGTGGACGTCGCAAGGTTCCACGCTTAACTTCGCTCGCTCCGTTCAACGCATTTCATGGATGGCGGTGATTTCAGCCTTTATTTTCCCTAGGACATCAACCAGCTGGACAGAGGCACCTTCCCGATTGACGGTTCGGATATTCCAGGTGCATACCCTCAAATCATAGTCCTTTCTACGTTTTCGGTGATCGTCCTCAAAAGAAGGGGGTATCATCCGAGGCATGTATTATTTTTTTCATTGGGCAGGGTTTTAACGTAGTGGGACCCAAACCCAAAGCAGGCGGGGTGTTACGCCATCCCACTTTAGCTTGCTCCAAAACGAGTGTTCGATCGCTACCCAGA